ACGTACTTTATTTTTAATTAAAAACATCTTTGATTATCAAACTAAAGGTATCAATTGCTTTTAGATCTTTAAAATAGACTACAATGTTTTTTGTTCGAATAAAAATATCTCCCTATTTTTAGCTCTAAGTTCTTTTTCCTTATAAATATGTCATATAAATAGATTAAACGATTTTTGTATTCACAAGCGAAACAAATGTCGCTTCAGATTGTAACTGCATAGTGTAGACATATTAAAAATAAAAATTATGATTATACCAGAAGATTTATATTCGATTAGTTTAATCTTCGCTGTGAACGTATTGATTGTTAGCAATATATTATATTTGTTACATAAGGATAATGGCAGTAGTGGGAACAGGAACAACGGTAGCGGCAGCAATAACAATAGTGTTATTTATAATTATATTTATCATTAACATACTTCGATAGAATTATACATATTATTAATTATAATCGCAGTGGTCATGATTATCTTCACTTATATACACGTGCATACGTATATATGCGTAGACCATGAAAGCACATTTGACAATGCGAATATTTCGCACTATCATATATACAGAGCGTCTCAGAAATCGCGCATCTTCTTTATTGATTCCTCGACAAGTTTAGAATCAACTTTTCCGTAACGAAAGTTCAATTGGACTTCACCTTTTACATGTATTATACTGTACACATATGAATCATCTTGACAATCGCATCTTAAATATTACAAATTTTAAATTTTCATTCGTGTGCATCTTGATTCCTTCTTCAAGAGCCCTTTAATTATTTATTGTTCAACAAAGGCTCGATACAGCTAATCATCATTATTCGGCATCAAGTGTCTAGAAGAAGTGCACGATTATTGGGACACCCTGCGTATGCATATATTTCATACGTTAAATTTGTATTTCATAAGAATATATACACAGGGTGGCCCAGAAATAATGAATATAATTGAGTTCGATTGTTTCTTGATAAAGTCTCAAATAGGTTTTATCATTTGGTGTATGAAATCAATTATTGGAGATTTTACCGGGGAGATTCACATGAAAATAATTTGGTGCATCGATAGAATCAGTGCGCCCGCTGATGGCCACATATAATCATTAAGTGAACATACAAGTGAACAAAGGGAGGGGATTGTGTATTAAAAGCGAAGTCGAAACCAAATTTAATTATAAACCGGAAACTGAGCAAAAGTAACCGAGGATTAATAAAATTACTTGAAACTTGAATGACAATTACTGGTACCGCATAATACTATCGTATTACATTGCGTACTATTGCGGAAAAGCATGCTTTCCTTGCACTTTCTATTAGGTGTTGGAATTAATTCGTAGCGTTTTACAAGTGATGGGAAGTACTTTCATTAATGTATTTTTTAATGCTCATGTGAAATAAATAACATTCTTTCATTAAAAAACGCTACGAATTAATTACAACACCTAATATCTTTCTAGGAAATCGAATCTTAAAACATTTAAACACATCTTGATAGGCGCACAATTATTTCTTTTTATTACAAAAATCTGAAATACAGTATTAATATAAATATTCCTCGTATTTCGTACGAACTATGTGAAAGATCGTTTCCTCCGTCGAGATAAATATCACACGCCATTTAACTATCGTCTAACTCTAATAAAGACTATAGTAGAATTAAAATATTACAAGCGCATACTTATTGATATGACTATCAGGATATAAAGATTCATTTTTATAACGTTAAATTTTCTTAAGAGGATTATATATGCTGTCTTATTTACAAAATACATTCTGCGTATAGAACTATTCGATAGACCATACAATTGACGATTAGCTCACCGCGCACTTGAGATCCTACTGTTTTATGTACAGTAAAAAATCTTAAAAATCGATGCATTGCGGTACAAGAAGAGGAATCTCGTTTCAGGATTTTGCAACATTTGAAAACTATCTTATGCAAAAGTATCTTATGTAAAACGCATTACAGATGACACGTTCAGCGAAGGAGAAATTTTTCTAAATCATATCTGTAACAAATTCTCTTCTTTTTCTTTCTAAATCGAGATGGCCATATAAACATCCTTAAGTTTAAAATAATTATTTATATGAACAAAATAACATGTTTAGCATTATACATATATATGTGCGCAACAAGCCAAAATCTTCATAATATAATTTTATATTTCAATATTTATATATATGTATATATATATATATATATACATTTATATATATATATTTTTTGCGCACCAATTATCGTGCTGTATTGATGCTGTCACTGCTCGATATACACATGTTAAATTTTATTTGATGTCATCTTTCGGAAGGTAAACCGAAAGTATCTTTGCCATAATAACTTCCCTGATGAAAATAAAAATCGGAACGTAATCGATATAATGGGAGAATAATAGAAGCATAAACAAAGTTTTATCACATTCGTAAACGCTTCTTTTACATTCTGTCATTTCAATTTTCATCTCCTAGAATTAAACAGAGTGTTTAATGCTGGATTTAAATCGGCTATATCAGAAGTTTTCATAGCAAAAATACTCTCAGTGGTTTATCATTGCCTTTGCCGAAAGGTGACAATCAAATAAAATCTGATATATATATTCTGAATGAATTTGCAGATCCAAGCCCATGCAAATCTCTATGCAACTAATGTCCCTACAAAATTTTATATATATATGTCATTAATAAGAAGTAATTTTATTTTCACGATGAAAAACAAAGCGTTAGATAAGACTTTTAGGCATTTACAGATCATTATCGTTCGTGTTTACTCCAAACTGTAGAGTGCATACCAAAGAGATTTTTTTTTTTTTTTCGATAAGTATAAAGTGCACTAGATTAGAAATGTGTGATTAAACATATTTTAATACTCTTTTTAGATATGTGTTTTTTGTAATTTTTTATTAGTTGTTTTGTGAAAATAGCAATGAATTTTATTAATTGATTGTGATTGATAAACTTTCCAATGATCACAATACATCTTAACATAATATATATTTTTATATATTTTTTAATATGCATAGTTTTATAGTTAACTTTTTTCAGGATATTTTTTTCCGTTTTTATGAAATGGTTTTTTAAAACATCGATTATTTTTCTACATAGATTTAAACAAATTTTTCTTCCTCTGTAATAATTTTATGTTTTATATTTTGCTTATATTATTTTTATATTACATTGAAAATAAATATTTGACAACTTTTTCCTATATCTTATAAATAACTTTTAAATGTATACATTTTTTAACGTATAAACAAATTTTTTTAATAAAATGATGTCAAGTGTCTTTTAAAGAAATTTTTCTTTAAAAGACACAAAAAAATCTTTATGGATTAAAGAATTTAAAAAAAGAAAAATAATACAATGGAACAAATAAATTCCATATATTTTTCCTATGTTTTCTTATGTTTATTAGGAGATGTGATAGCGTTTCCCGTTAAGTAAATTTTTGTGATACATTATGAAGGAGATAATATCATGTCATGAAACATTATTCTTTACAGCAAGGAAGTCGCTTAAAATAATTAAAAATTATTGTTTCGTTTAAACAAATTGATGTTATAAAAAATATATTTTTTCTAGATTTTGTTTAAGATAATAATAAAATCAGAAATACTTGTACTTTCTTATCACACGTTCTGATAATTACAATGTTGTATTATAGTATACATTATCATTTTTGTTTTTTTCTTTTCCAAGTGCTTTTTTCCTGAGATCCGAAACTTACGTATTGATCTTTTTTTCAGAGACAAATATTAAAAAAATACAAAATATTTCTTATCTCTAAAGTTTTTTCAAAAAAATACATTTCCTTGTTGTAAATAAGAGACAATATTGAAACTTATTTGACAACATATTCGATAACACTTATACATCAGTTATATATCATTCAGATTAATCTCTGTTTTAATTTAAAAAGTTGAGTAATGTCACATTATCATTCGTTATCATAAGCTGTTCTGGATATAAAAATGAAATGATAGTAACAGCTTCGAAAGAATATTGTTTCTTGAACGCAATCGGTTGAAAGAAAAAATGAAGATCATTATTTTCTTGGCACTGCTGTGTACAGTTTACGTGAGTTCAATAAATCATATTTAAGAAGAGAAAAATCTAAATCACTCTAAATAAAATAAATACTTAGAAAAAGAATATAATAGATTTTTTCGTTTTTTGACCAAAGTGTCGCTAATATTTTCTTGAAAGATTGAAAGTTATATCTATTAATTTATAATATGAATTCTTAAATAATTTTTATAATTAAAAAGTATAAGAAAATAATTTTGATTCGTTTTTCTTTAGAAAAATCATGCGTATCTGAGAAATATATATATATAGTATCTTCTTTTTTATATTTTATATTTTAATAACAAAGCTTTCATATGTTTTTTTTAAGGCATTGGAGCAAAATGTGATGGATTCTTCGCTCGAGCGATTAGTGAATATAGAAAATGCAGCCACCCAAACTATACTGTATGGTCTATTATTTTTTGAAGAGCGAATGTCGCAGAATTTAGTAGTGCATCTTGAAAAAATAAAAAAAAATGCTTTAGATAATATCAACAATACTATTAATGGAGCACTTGAAGATGTCAATGTGAATATCATTCATTTTTATCATATATTTAATAAAGAAAGATAAGTATATGGATTGTACAAGAAATATTTAATATTATAATTACAACATTTGAAGTCAACTTTACAATATCAATTTTTTAAATGGATTATGAGAGATGTATTTACATACATAAAATATATACAAATGCTTTTCTAGCTATCCATTCACAATGGAAAAGAAGAGGGTAAAAACGTAGATGGCTGTTACTATTATGCGAAGAATAATCTAGAATCGAAAAGGACAAATGCAGTTGCTGGATTGGACATGTGCATCCAAAACGGTCGCATAGCCATGGAAGGCCCATTAGCAAACGTAATCAGCAATATTCAGGTAATCAGTTTGTGAAAATGAATAAAATGTTATTATACGTTAATTTACTAGAATCATCCCTAGCGAAAAAAAAATTCTTACGAAAAACTACGTAGATTGAGACAAGAGAAGAGATAGAAATTCTTAATTTTTCGCAGATATTCGCAGTGAGATGTAGAGTGGCGTTGTTGGAAGGCGGAGGATCTCTAGGTTTAAAAAAAAAACCGCCGCTCTATGTTCTACTATGAATATATATGAAAAAATAATGATTTCTAAGATTTTGTCTCAATCTATGTAATTTTTCGTAAATCTTTTCTGCCAGGAATAGAAATCTTCTCTTTTATTGTAATCACAATTTTGAAAATGTTTATATTATGTAATAATCTCTTTTTAATTTACTGATGTTATAAAAAATTGCATTTAAATATAACTTCCTCATTAAATATATACGAACTATATGTTTTGCGAATTTAAAATTTCTGTGCAATTATATCTTTCATCATAAATAAAGGAATAGGTATTGCAATTTATAACACTTTAATTTTAAAATTATCTTTCAAGGCGGCGAAAAAGTTACTGAGTGATTTGAATGCTATCATACCAAACTGTGATTCTACAAACTTCCTTAGAAAACAAGCTTGCGTCTTGAAAAACCTTTCCTTAACCAGAGAATCGCTGAAAAGTGTTACTAAAAGTTCTGGGGAGATAATAATTATCGCGACAGGCACATACATGAAAACACTTGTAAACGTGAAAAGTTGCGTCGTAAAGAATACTGCTGAGACTCATATTTTCAGCATGAATATCGTTAGTTATACTAATCATTGCATAAGAATGGCATAGCCATCGAATCATCTACTTTCTCGAAAGATTCAAATTTTGAAAAAAGATTAAATTTAATATGAGCCTATATAATTAATTTTTAATTCTTTATTTTTTAATTTACGTACTTTATTTTTAATTAAAAACATCTTTGATTATCAAAAGATATCAATTGCCTTTAGATCTTTTGTCTCTAAAATAGACTACAATGTTTTTATTCGAATAAAAATATCTCCCTATTTTTAGCGCTAAGTTCTTTTTCCTTGTAAATATGTCATATAATTAGATTAAACGATTTTTGTATTCACAAGCGAAACAAATGTCACTTCAGATTGTAACTGCATAGACATATTAAAAATAAAAATTATGATTACAGAAGATTTATATTCGATTAGTTTAATCTTCGCTGTGAACGTATTAATTGTTAGTAATATATTTGTTACGTAAGGATAATGGCAGTAGTGGGAACAGTAACAGCAACAACGGTAGCGGCAGCAATAATAACAATAGTATTATTTATAATTATATTTATCATTAACATACTTCGATAGAATTATACATATTATTAATTATAATCGCAGTGGTCATGATTATCTTCACTTATATACACGTGCATACGTATATATGCGTAGACCATGAAAGCACATTTGACAATGCGAATATTTCGCACTATCATATATACAGAGCGTCTCAGAAATCGCGCATCTTCTTTATTGATTCCTCGACAAGTTTAGAATCAACTTTTCCGTAACGAAAGTTCAATTGGACTTCACCTTTTACATGTATTATACTGTACACATATGAATCATCTTGACAATCGCATCTTAAATATTACAAATTTTAAATTTTCATTCGTGTGCATCTTGATTCCTTCTTCAAGAGCCCTTTAATTATTTATTGTTCAACAAAGGCTCGATACAGCTAATCATCATTATTCGGCATCAAGTGTCTAGAAGAAGTGCACGATTATTGGGACACCCTGCGTATGCATATATTTCATACGTTAAATTTGTATTTCATAAGAATATTATATATACACAGGGTGGCCCAGAAATAATGAATATAAATAATTGAGTTCGATTGTTTCTTGGTAAAGACTCAAGTAGGTTTTATCATTAGGTGTATGAAATCAATTATTGGCGATTTTACCGGGGAGATTCGCATGAAAATAATTTGGTACGTCGACAGAATCAGTGCGCCCGCTGATGGCCACATATAATCGTTAAGTGAACATACATTGGAAAGGGAGGGGATTGTGTATTAAAACCCCTAGCGAAGTCGAAGTTATCAAATTTAATTATAAACCGGAAACTAAGCAAAAGTAACCGAGGATTAATAAAATTATTTGAGACTTGAGTGGCAATTACTGGTACCGCGATGCATAATACTATCGTATTACATTGCGTACTATTGCGGAAAAGCATGCTTACCTTGCACTTTCTATCTTTCTAGGAAATCGAATCTTAAAACATTTAAACACATCTTGATAGGCGCACAATCATTTCTTTTTACTACAAAAATCTGAAATACAGCATTAATGTAAATATTCCTCGTATTTCATACGAACTATGTGAAAGCTCGCTCCCTCCGTCGAAATAAATATCACACGCCGTTTAATTACTGCTCTAATAAAGACTATAGTAGAATTAAAATATTATAAGCGCATACTTATTGATATGGCTATCAGGATATAAAGATTCATTTTTATAACGTTAAATTTTCCTAAGTGGATTATATATGCTGTCTTATTTACAAAATACAGTCTGCGTATAGAACTGTTCGATAGATCATACAATTGACGATTAGCTCATCGCACACTTGGGATCCTACTGTTTTATGTACAGTAAAAAATCTTAAAAATCGATGTGCATCGCGGTACAAGAAGAGGAATCTCGTTTCTGGATTTTGCAACATTTGAAAACTATCTTATGCAAAAGTATCTTATGTAAAACGCATTACATGTGACACGTTCAGCGAAGGAGAAATTTTTCTAAATCATATCTGTAACAAATTCTCTTCTTTTTCTTTCTAAATCGAGATGGCCATATAAACATCCCTAAGTTTAAAATAATTATTTATATGAACAAAATAACATGTTTAGCATTATACATATATACGTGCGCAACAAGCCAAAATCTTCATAATATAATTTTATATTTTAATATTTATATATATATAAAACAATTGAAAATTTCCGAATACAAAACAAAGATTTGAGGAGTTTACACCATGCCGTTCGCGTGAATCTTAAACTCGTTAAAACATTTTACGAGACACTACAAAGAATCTTAGTAACTTTATTGTAACTTTATCTTATTTTCGTTCTATTTCATACGAATCATTTTTACTGACAGCAAATATTCGATTCTGTCTAAGTATAATAAGCTATATGCACTAGAGCTTCTCTGTAAATGCAATTGTACTTAACAAATTATGAGCAAATTCTTTTATTATAATTTACTAACAGTATACTGCTATCTGTGTTCCCGACCCATATATTATCCTCTCTGGTGCAACAACGACTCCTATATTGTTTGAAAACCTCGAGTTATTACTCTTTCGGTGAAAATTAATCGACAACAAACTATCGAGATAAAAAAAATAGAGAAAAAATAGAGTTCATATGTTTCGCCATACCCGATAAGAGAGCATATTACAATACTTAAAAACGAGATGCGAATCCTTGACTTAAAGAATAACATAGAGGACTTATACATAACAAGTCAAGTCCAGCGGGAGTACATAATTCAAGATTGCGATATTTCAGAGGTCAGAAAGTCGTATAGAAAGTAAATGTATCTTACTCCCACACACGTTTATAAAAACAATTATATATATGTATATCGAGATAGTTTGTACACATTTCCTTTACGTATGGATTTAATTCGTTATTTTTGTTTACCGTGCACTAATATAACTGTTTCAACAAAATTATATTGAGAATTATATTGAGACGGTTTTTTTTGTTTTATGGACACAGAGGAAGATTGTATAATAACATGTTGAGATAAAGAAAGAAATTTTATAACTTCCTGCACACATAAAGCTCATCGCAATATATTCTCCGCGTCCTTTATGCCGCAGGTGATGTGAGTGTATCTGACCTGTGCATTCTTTATTAGTCATTTGAGATATTACCACTGTTCCAAGACCTAGCAAGCACATGAATCACTTCTACCATTGCTTCTTTGGTCATTGGTCAATTTGATTTGATCCGGGAATTCATTGTAAAGTTCGACCTAAAATTCGCAAGGATATAAAGATAAAATTGAGATATGACATAAATGGATCGAGAAAAAACTCTGCGCCTCTAATATACTCACTTCACTTTCTTGAGCTAAAGCATTCTTAGCTATCGTTTGGAAAGCTTGCTCGACATTGATAGCCTCTTTTGCACTAGTTTCAAAATATGGAATATTGTTCTTTGATTGACACCACTGTTGTGCTCTCTTGCTTGAGACCTAAAACAAAAGATACAGAAAAAAATGTGGGAAATGATAACATAAATTGCAATTATTAAATTAAATGAAAATATTAGATTTTAAATAGTATTTACATTGCATTTGTATTTGCATGTTCATTAGATTGTACAAAATTATTTAAAATTATTTTGAAGATTTAAAAATTATTTTACTCACTGCTCTTGATTCAAGATCTACTTTGTTCCCGAGCACGACAAACGGAAAGTTGTCTGGATCTCGAGGCGAGGCTTGAATTAAAAATTCATCCCTCCATGAATCTAGAGATTTGAAGCTAGTTGGAGCAGATACATCAAATACCAGTACACAACAGTCTGCGCCTCTATAAAAAGCCACTCCTAACGATTGAAACCTCTCCTGTCCAGCGGTATCCCAAATCTAAGACAAAAAGATTTTCCGTTAGAAATACAAAATACTGACGATTTATTAAAATAATGAAATTAAGCACGAGGATTACCTGCATAGTTACTATTCTATCCTCTACCATCACTTCCTTAGTCAAAAAATCTGCCCCTATTGTCGCTTTATATTGGTTGCTAAACTTCTTATTGACATATTGATTCATTAAAGAAGTTTTCCCAACTCCCGAATCCCCAAGGATAATTACTTTCAGCAAAACTTTCTTGCGAGATGCCATACTTGCTGAAAAAATATAAAATCATATTAGAAATTAATTCTTGCAAGAATAAGTGCTTGGAGCAAAGGTTAGTGTACTATTTAAAAATAACAATCATACTATAACTAATACATAACTTCCTTATCATATCAAGTAATGAGTAATTAAAGTATTATTCTAATATGATTTTTCTTTTATATTGAAATATGATGATTTATGATCAAATATGGAAGAAATTTTTTAGTGACTGTCATTTCACAAAAATTGATAACAATATGAATCCTTCAAATTCTTGTCTATGAAAAGTTACGTTGAAATATTAAATATCCTATATAAAAATTTAATTATATGTATAACAAATACAAACAAGACATGTAATTTATACATTTTGTATATGAATAAATACATAACAAAAATTAGAAGTATCATATCTCCATAAATTTTTTAGAAAATTAAGATCGGAGTAATTTAAATAGCAAAAATGTAATATTAAATAGTTTTGTAAGCAAATATGGAATTTTAAAATTTTATTGCTTCAAATCAAGAAAAATAATATTCTACAAGTTGTATTTGCAAAAATTAAATTTGCTACAATTTTGTAATGTTCAATTTATAATTTAGAAAATATTATTAGACATTAAAGTGGACGTAGTCTTTAAAAGTTTCATCAAGTTACAAAGCAACAATTTTTCAAACAATGAAGGATAAGCACCAGGTGTTGTTTCCTGAATTGTAAATATTGGAAACAGATCAGCTTCTGATATTACATTCCACCCACGATCTTTCAACTATTTACATAAATTTATCATGTATACCAAATCAAAAGTCACCAAATTATTAAGTCAATTATTATTGCACGAAAGCTTAGAGTTCGAATGTTCGGAAGGAATGTTCGATTAAATGAATCATCTAACAACATTAATGAGGGAAAGACTCAGAGTGGCAATGACGTAGTACAACGCGCTCGCCAAAAAAAAAAGAGCGACAGAGCGAGAGAGAAAACGAGTGAGCTTTCTTCGCGAGAACGTTCGAGCGCGAGGTATCTGGCGGTCACCAATGATCGACACTCCCGAAATCCGCGGCTTCGAGGAATATCCGCGATGCAACGTACGATAAGAAGGTAGGACGAGCGAAATGCATTGCGATGCGAACGGAACGCTCCACCGTACGTTCAACGCCTTCGACAAAATCTGTCACACGCAGTGGGCCTCAGGACACTCGGGTTCACTCGGGATACTCGAACTCGGTGCGAGCGATGTCTACAAATGGGCGGACGCGATCCAGGTCGGAGACACCGTGCGTCTTCCGCGCGAGATGCGAATTCCGGGGAAACGTCGGAGCGAGACGGGCACGTTACCTGGGGAACTCGTCAGGGAACACGGCCTGTGAAAACACCTCCGCGCTCCAGCGCTTCACACAAAGAAAATGGCGTGTTATGAAATCACGAGTATGACAACGATGTCGTCACCTGTTCGCCTCGCCTCCCTTATCGACCGAGTGCAATCGAGTGCATTATTTCCGACGACAGCGGCGTGCGTCTTCTGACTTTCGAGAGGTCGATACGGAGGTTCATGCGATATATCGATCACTCGCATAAATGTGGAGACGCGTCGACCTCCGCGCACGCACGATCGAGCCGACCTATCGCGATTGGTCGAAATTTAGAAGCACGACTGTGACGATGTGACATTTGAATTTGTAGCTCATTTCAGTTCATCCCTTTTTTGTATCGTAACGGACATAACGCAAGCGATGATAATAACGTAAGCTATGAATATCATAATATGTCATAATATATCGATGTGTTTCCTTAATTTTACGCATTCTGTTACAAAAAATGACGAGACAGATTAATCTTTCATTATCATCGGAAAAGCAGAATAATAAAAAATTATGTTAAAATAAAATTACACAGAGAAAAAAATTTGCTTTGACTCGAAAGTTTAATTTACACAGAGAAAAAGTTTTTGTTTGGAGAGTCTCGAGAGTTTGATCTATTTTGTTTCATTGAAATAAATTTAATTTTAAATGAAATATATTTTGTTTAATAAAAAAATTTAATTCTAGTGCAAATAATTATATTATTTATTAATTTAAACATCCATTTGGTTGGACTATTCTAATGCATTTTGTTTAATTTAAACCTTTTCTTTGTGTACGTAAATAAAAGTTAATGCGACATGTATATTTTCCTACTGAATTGCTTGCGTTTCAGTAAATTACTAGTAATTTTGTGATTCTGTATAATGCGATTTTAATAATTAATTTACTAAAATACAAGCAAATACAAAGTACAACGTTGATTTTAATTGAATGAGAGAAAGAAAGGAAAGAGAATTTATTATCTCGCGAGATTAACACGTGAGGAAAAAATGTGTTTTTTGATCGATGATTAAAATAAAATCGATTTCTCCATATACAGAGATTGCGATCCACATAAATATGCATAGTGCATACAAATCTGAATCCTCATCGCTCTGACATTTCGAGAATAAAATCTATTTTTAATCGTTATCCTTGACATATCTCATGAGCATGAAAAAAAAATGTTAAGTGGAATATATTGTAGAATTTTAAGATTTTGCAGACAAATTAATCGCGATCAGTTACTTAATTCAGTCTGCAAAATGTCTCAAATATTCAACAGGATGTTTCCAAAATAGATCGCCATTTGGCAACCATTCTCCTGCAATTTTTGTAGACAAGGATAGATCAACCGTAATAAAATTATACATCGTATCCAAGCAAAACGTTTCTAACGAAGTACAATAACGAAATACTCGAGAATTTATGATAAAATAATTGATCTATTGTCTATCCAAATTTGCATAGCTGCAAAATGCATAAAGGAAATCTTTTTATAATTTTCACTCCAAATTTTTTTTTTCCAAAATTTATTTCTTGTGAATATTTATTTAAGGTCAGTTCGTTTAAACAATTTTAATTATTTTTTAAGATTTAGAAGTCCCTTCAAATCCCTTTGCTCTCTTAGCTACGCCCATGATATATACATTTATACTCAGACAGCACAAAATATTTATAATAAATACTTATTACTATTCATTTTTTTAAATGTTATGTAAATATTTTATATAATGTTTATAATAAATACAATCTAAAACCACAAAAGTATTTACAAAATATTTAAAATAAATCTTATAAATATTTATAAATATTTATAAACATTTTGTATATATTTTATTTAAATATTTTATGTTGTCTGGGTATGGCCATGCATTTTGTCTGGATAAATCCTGAACCATTAAAATGACATTCAAATGGCATCAAATGATTATTAAAAGTAATCACTTAATTTCGATCAGCTATGATTTATTTTGACGTTAAAATGATTTTACCGTGACCTGTAATTTTGCTTAGATAAGAGAATCGTACATTATTTATTATCGTAGATGTAGATCCTCGAATATTTGGATATCGTGTATTTCGTCAGAAACTTCTTGTAAGGAAAATTTTGCAAGAATTCATAGAAATAAAATCCTACATGTTTGATCCTGTGTTTGATAAACTATTCTGAAGAGCGCTAAATACAATTTAAATCATTTAATATAATGTCACTTAATGTAATGATTTTTAATTAATTACGTAAAAACATGCGCGTGCGAAAGGCAACATGAAACGATCAAAACCGTGATGCTGATAACATTATTCAATATTGCCAAAGACGCAGTCGGACGAAAAGTTATAGTGATGTTTCGCAGTTTCCTCGACGTCTTATGTAAATTTAATAAACAATACAGAGTTTTTGCAATAACATGGATTCATGTACGGTGAACGCTAAAATCACGTTATTCTTTTTTTAATTACTTAATTGTTAAGAAGAAGATAGAACGTGACTTTAGCGTTCACCATATCTGTATAAACGGTATTGCAAAAATTTCTTAATATCTGATTTTGTTGCCGCTAAACTTGACCGTAATTAAGTTACAAAATTGATATTTAATTAACAGAAATTACAGAAATATCTTGGCGAATCCGAGCTGCCGCGATAAACCATCTATTATAGCATCCTGCCTATCTTCCATCCTTTATTTAACTTAATCAAACTCGAAATATAAGTTGAAAAGCGGATTGTCGGAATATAAATCGGGTGAAAGTAGGTCTCGTAATCTATTCGAGAGAGACCGAAAATCTCGTTAGCTTCTCGCCTACTTTTACGACGTTAATCATTACTTATATTTTATTAAAATATTATTGCATTAACAAAAAAAAAAACAGAAAATAGAAAAATCGCACTAGAAAGTGCATCCTGAATGAGTGGTGAGCGTCGACCGCAGAATCGTGAAGCGAAAATAAGAATTCGAAGTTAAGACAGGATGAATTTTTAATCGCTAGTTTCGTCACTCTATACTTAAAAAAAAATTAAGTTTTTCTTAAATACACTATACTTTAATTAGGTTTTTCTTAAATAAAAATAAAAAATAAAAGTTGCAATTGAAAAACGGCGCTTATTTATTTTTTATTTGTTCGCTTGACATAATATAATCAATTTTAAATATTCTTATAATTTTTAATATTAATGTAATATTATAATATAATTAATTCACCAATAAATGTTATTTATAATAAGAGATAATAAATTATACGTAAATTTATCAGTAAATTAATAATTCTGAGAAGAAAAATAGGAAAACGGAGGAGGGAGACGAGTGCGACGTACAATTGAATTAAATAAGTATTAATTTAATCACATATAATTACAATCACATATTTGCGATACATACTGCCAGGTTCTACTAGGAAATAATTTGTCATATGCTGAGAAAGAGCAACTTAAGTCAACTTAATTAAAAGAAGTACGCCATTACCGATTATCATTGGAAAATATATCATTGAAAAGTTTAAACTTTTCAAACACTTCTGTGCGAAATATAATAGAATAATCACGAAACAATACACCGAAAACGACTTAATTTTTTAATATATTTATTTTTCTTCGTGAGACATTCATTATATTTTTTGTCAAGTCTTTTTATGTAGATATTTAATGTTTGCACTTTGCAAAATTATTCTGTTTCTTTATAGATTCTCGTAGGTAAACTACGTTCGAGGGTTGCGCAGCTAAAAGAACATGGAAGTTAACAAAAGAGTCGAGATTACGATCATAAAATTACAAATCGGGTGTAGAATGAGTGCGTTTGGAAAGCTTTCATCGTGCTCATAGTTTGAAAAGACGCGGCCTGAATTTATATACAACTTAATCTGAATTAAATGGAATCGGATCACGTTAGGTGGTGAGCGAAATCGCGGTATGGCCTCGTCGTGATGGGCACAAACGTTGCACAATCCTGTCGAACAATCCATAATTGAACCAAATACAAAGAGAACTGTTTCCTATAATAGCCCAATGTGCAACGGTCTGATAGCTATTACACGACAATTTATCTTTTCTTCGAAAAAATACTATAAAATAGCGCGACTGATCGTTTCGTCGTATTAAGTAGATCTTGGTACTCGTATACCAATACAAAATAAAATTATATTTTGCATGTTTATTTTGCTAAGAGTTCGCTGATCTTTTTATCGCTCTTGGAGATTTAATCCTTGAATATGTATGTTCGCTGCATCTGATTCTCATCGATCGCATTGACAGATCGCGTCGAACATAATCAGGTCCGATGGACAGAATAACAGGTCGATAACGTCAAACTGATTTTAAAATGAATCTGCGACTGGCCAAAAAGAACTTTTAATAATTCCGAAGGAACACGCTTAATCAAAGAGAAAGTCAAAATGTATCTTTATTTTGACATCATAAAAATCAAAATAATGATTTTTTTATTACAAAATTTGATTATTTATTGAGTCAATAAATCATGAAACAAAATAAGGTTGAAACAAAAAATTTTGATTTTTCTGTTGACTTTTGTGTGTTCCTTGAGTTGCATGATTTTGATTTTGGAAGCATTTTGACATCATGATGACTTCTCGTTTTGTTTGAATCTTGCTTGAGTCGAGGAGGCTACACCGCAATCTTCGTCTCAGGGACAAGGTGGCCTTTTTGCTTTTGTGTCGGGCTTAGGGCTTCGGCGCTTCCGGCTGTGCCTTCGCCGCATCCTCACTCGGTGGTGGCAGGGTTGGGATCTCCGGATATTCGAGCTTGGCGCCGTTCTCGCACTCGAAGATCGGACAACATTCGGGGAAGCTTGCGGTTTTGTTGGTCTTGTCAGAGAGCTTGCACTTAGGGTTGGCCTTGGGCAACGGGCCACAGTCTTCTACTAATTCAAAGAGACGGCCGGAGTTGTCATCAGCGGGTACGCAGGTAGAACGACCGCAGAATGGCGCCAGTTCCCACGATTTCGTCGGCTCGATGGTCGCACACTTGGTCGATGCGAAGCACATTCCAGGGAAGTCTGTAACACATAGTTCTTATCAGAACAAGTTGTAGAGTTGCGTAAAAGTCTGACAAAAGAAGAGTCATTCTTCAAGAGAAAGGAAAAGCTTCAGGATTTAATTAACGAGTGTCTCTTATATTTTTAGAAAATACTATTACGTAACATACTGTATATAAATTATTATAAAATGTAGAAGTATGTTATTATTACATAGACAATAATATGAGAAATAACGTAAAAATGTTAAGTGCCTAAATTTATATAAATACAATAAGAAATTATTATGTTTCGTTAATATACGAAATAATTTATGGCATAATAATTTATAATAATTCATTAATATATAGACAATAATGTTCGATATTACACGGCACAATGAACCTTTGCATATATAGATAATTTCATAGTAACGAATGTCTGTTCTCTGACATGAGTGTTCGACAATACGTTAATACTTTAATCCGCTTTGGCCGACCTGTGTAAGGATTCGCGGATCTCTTTCGTTCGGTTTTCACCGATAGTGACGCACTTGTCTAAGTCAATAAACTAGAGATGAGATCATATAAATAAAATGCCAATCAAAGCCAACACTAGGTGTTCTTGTAAATTCAAATTCTTTATTGAATGTCAAATTTAAGTTTATGTATCTCAGCATGCCCTTCTTTGTTTTACTACATTTAACTACAATAATTATTTCAATTTTTATGTCACATTTTTTAGTCATTCTAAATAATTAACAAATAATACTATAGTCAAATTTATTGTGGGATCGAAACACGTTAAAGGAGGATATTAAAAAGTGGTCCAACAAGCAAAAGAAATAGTGGCTCTGATTTTACTGTTATTTTATTAATTTTTATTCTTTAAAGCCTTCTTATTAGAGATTGAAGTAAAAGGGTATTCGAATCGCTAGCTCGTAGAAGTCGAACTGTGAAATAAGACGGTGATATCGCGTTTCCTTAATAATTTGCTCGCTCGCCCGAGTATTATATCGTTACCTCGATCGTCACGCGCAATTCCGCAAAAGTGTCGTTACTTTCTAACGCACTGTACGCGCCAGACCTAAACGGCATTATTACTCGCCGCACAATGTTGCTTGTTAATTATCCCGCCGACCTGAATATCCGGACAGATGAAAGAATTAATGCGAGAGAGTGGATGTGTTTTTTAATATCGCATTGCACACCGCGGTGAAATTAGAGGCGCCAAACCATGAACGTAGCCGAGATTTTAGATTTTTAGAAGGGAAAACGCAATCAGAAACATTATTGCGAGCGACAAAGCGATATACTTTAGAGGTCTTTGCTTCAATTTTTTAATTATTTTATATTGTTTTATTATCATTATATTATTATTTTGTATTATCTTGCTTCTCTCTCTTTCTCTCTCTCTTTAAATCGAATATAACTAATATAATCAGATCCAAAGCGAGACAGTTTTATGTTGAGAGAAAGAATTTATAGATGTACCTAAAGATAAATACATTTAAAAATAATACAACTTTTTTATATTTTAACATGTTTGGCGAGACAGTCTCGTTATTTTTACGAGGTGAAAAAGAGCGAATAAAATATTTATTCATTAAAATATTTACGATTTGGTCAACACCTAGTAATTTGCTCGCTTTTGTAATTTTTATCTTGTTTCAAGATACACAATCGATTCCCTGAATCGCATCAAGAAATAATCTTCTCGCATCGGCGAACGCTTTAGAATATCGACGTTCGCATTATCCCTATTGTAAACTCAACAACGAACGCAACACACCCGTTGGGTTCGGCATCCTATTTCCGAGCCAGTCTGTATTTGCAACAATAATGACAGTCGCGAATTTCACTTCCTCGACGAGGACCCACACAACGACGACGACGACGAGATGACGATATTACGAGGCTAATTCGAGTTGCAATCGATACCCATCTACGACGATGATTGGAACAGGGAACACACCGGTGTTCGCATCGTCGTCGTCGTCGTCGTCGTCGTCGTCGTCGTCGGCGGCGGCAACGGTGATCGTGCTAGAAACTTCAAGGAGAAACACTTTCACTGTCATACACCGAGTCGGTCGGTTGCGCGCCGCTTTTACGCAACGCGCCGACGACAAATGTTGGGCGTCATTACGACGGACGCGTTGGTTTTACGGCTCGCGGTTACATCAGCCCTTCGAGGCCTGTCTCGCGGTGACTCATGAGATCGTTTTACCATCATCGAAGCGAGGATTATTGAAAAATTCTTGATCGATTCTTCGATCCAAGCGAGAAAGAAATTAAAAAAGAAATGATCAGAAGGAGAAATCAATCAGATTTAATTATTAATAATTTTATCAAAGATTAATTACGATATTCAATAATTATTTACGATAATCAATAAATTATTAAAGACGAATCAAATTAATTTATAAGATCGAGAGATTATCGTAAATGATTATTTTTTATCAAATTATATATCATATAAATTACCTTGATTGGTTTTATATTGTTTTTCTTGCTAATTTTTAATTTATCGATTTTATAAGTCAATTTGATTTGTCTTTATGAGTCACGTTGACCGCTATCTTTTTAATATTTTATAATTTACATTAACATGTAATATACGTGAAGCAGATAAGATCGAATAGAGGATTACTTTGCATTGCGTCTTGCATTGACGTCAGATTGTCTAGCCGTATAATACCGAGCGTGTTGTTCGTGTTAAACAATGACGTGTTCGTTACCGTTTTCTCAATGCCGATCTGAGCTGCGACGTGATCGGCGTTTACGGCACCGCTAATGTCTCTGCGGTTTTCTCGTTTTACCGGTCACTATAAAATAATAAACAAGGACACTTACTAAAGAGACTCAAGAGACACGAGTGGAAATTACGATCTTTATGTCGATTCAATTAGAAGCGATATAAGAATTTAGATTTCAAATTGGAAAGTTGAATTATAATTAAATTTCGAGAAGAGAAATTTGCAATAAAGATCAGAGATGAGAAAGATCATCTTTTAATATTATATTTGATGTAATGCATATACACGTTTTTCATATTATACTTTATCATTACTGTTGCTGCCATTCCTTTCATCTGCGACTTGAGGAAGTGAGTTCTGTTGCAAGGATAAAGAATTTTAGCTCACTTAAATAGAAAATAATTTGTGGGTATCTAAAAATTTGTATCTAAGTATCTAAAAATTTAATTGAAAATAATTTTGTTTAACCATCAAAATTATGTAGAACACTTAAACGTTGATGTTGCTAAAATTCTGTCTGTCTAGCAATCAATTTAAGCATCTTACATAAATATTTTGATGAGAGAGAGATTCAAAATTATTTTCGTATCTGTGTCTTTAAATACTTCAGTAGAACCGTTCCTTCCGTGCAGAATTCTAAAATATAAATTGAAGTATAAAACTAAAATATCGTTAATCGATAGTCGCAAAAAAATATATTAAAAGCAGGAACGAGGAAAATAAATGGCAAACTTTCACTTGCAAAAGGCAAGCAATATAACTCTCGTGAAATTAAAAATTTGGAATTCATTGAGCGAGCATTATTTAAAATGCGGAATTAGAATTGCTGATTGCAAGAATATATTGCTTCTTTTCAGAATGCGGAAACGTTAATTTGTCTCGGCGAAAATATTCTTTTAAACGAAACTGGCTAGGCCTTCAAGAAACTCTAATCGGGAATTAGTCGACTAATAATTTATTATAACAGTACAATATGTGATACAACGATAAAGATGTATGCTGATTACATCTAATCTGGAAAGTCTTGCAATCAGGGATGTTTTTTTCTCTCTGATTTTATACGTTTGATCTCGCCGTACTTTCATCTCGCCGTGCTGGTTGTCATTTCTGGGTGCTACTTTCTTGAAATGCGCTTCTCGCTTTCCAATAGCAAGAACACTTTGCAAGGCACACGTTACCATATAATTTCGAAAAAAAAAAAAGATCCTATTAGCAAGAGTAGTCCTTAATTTTTACGTCAATCAAACAACAGCATCAGAACAAATGTATTCCAAAAGTGTATAAAAAGTCCTTCGGTATTTCTTCTTTTAAGCTAAAAAAGGTGGAAAAACCTGGCAATTGTTCGTTGCTTATGTGTACAAGGTGCTAAGTATTGTTTGCATATCGCGTGAAGAATTTCCGCGAGCCTGTCGCGTATTCGAGGCCTTCGTCTCGCGTATATATAATCGACGACCTTCCAAGAGACGGCAAATAAATAATTCCATCCTTCCCATGAGCTTCCACACCCGTACTTATGCGATCTCCTTCGCTACAATTCGAGCAACGAGGCCACTCGTAATTCCTCGTCACTACTCCGTGACTAATTCGATTATTCATGGAAATTCAGGTCTGCGCTGACAAATAAGAAAGAACACGGCCATGGGTAATTAAAGACCAGGAGCGATCGTCGCGTCTACGTGAATATCAAGGATTTTCTCTCCGGAAGGCCCTCAAATTGATCTACCGCTCGCGGTTAACGCGATTTTATTGAAGAACGTTCGTAATTTTGCGTGGTTTTAACATTAGTCGCGATGGCGATTCACAATGAATGGTTACGAAAAGAAAAATGCCGCTTGTACAATACATCAGTCTTTAATCAATCGAGCCTTAATTGGCGAAGATTCTATCTGTTTTTTTAAACATTACATATATATAAGCGTCAAAATATAAATCTGTGTTAATTCTGTAGTTTTGTTTCATTTATTATGCAATTATATCATTTGAATCAATATAATCAAAAATTGAAGAACAAAGGATTCTTAATAAACAATATATAAACAATTTCAATAAACAATAAATATATTAAAGGGCATGTGAGAGTCAAAATTTTAAATTTTATATTAAAAAGTTGATAGCGTATATTACATAATAAATATTAGGTGTTGGAATTAATTCGTAGCGTTTTTTAATGAAAGAATGTTATTTATTTCACATGAGCATTAAAAAATACATTAATGAAAGTACTTCCCATCACTTGTAAAACGCTACGAATTAATTCCAACACCTAATACTATTGTATTCTATAATCGAAATCAATGTAATCAAAACAAAAAAAAATAAAACTAATGTATTTTCACAGAAAGATTTTATAATATAATACATTAACAGAGGAAGTCACCAAATATCAAAGGAAAAAGTTTTTAACACTAGGTGAACCAACGTTTCTCACTAAAAGAGCAATAAATCACTGCAAAAATAATAAAAGTGTTGGAAAAAAACCAAACATTTCATGAGTATGAAGAACATAAGATTGAAAAAAATTTCAGGATCTTATCTTTCACATAATAAACGTCACATAAATTAAAGAAATAGAAATGATCGATAATGACCACTTGGTCTATTTTTAGTATTAAATGATGTATTTAAAAAAATAAATTATAATTTCTATAATTTAAATAAATGAACAGAGTAACAGGATTAAACATGTAAAACGTCCCAAGGATACTGTAAGATTAACTTTATAACCACAGTTTTATAACTTTCTTTATTCTCTCGTAATTCTAAAACTAGAAAAAGATACAGAGTTGATTAAACCAAGATTAAAATTAAACTACCTTAGTAGAAACGGGCATAAAAGCAACGGGTTTCGTAACGATCTTGTTAACTTATCGAGAAGAGAAACGCATCATTGCACCCTGCGGACCGTATAAAGAAGAAAGTAATATCGAGAAAGGGAGAAGGAACGGAAAGAGAAAGAGGGGGACATTCCCGGGGCAAAGGGGATTATAAGATGATGATTACAGCACGAAACTTTCACGCAGTCTTGTGATCTTGACGCCAACGGAGCAGAGTTTGCTATTTTTCTTGATCTCTCATCTGAGCAGGGGATCTCAACGTGCCATCAACGATACATCATCCTGCGTTCCTGCGAATCTCTGATTCACAGGGACCATGCTCGCGTTACGAGATAATCGGCGAGTCGATACAAAAAGACATTCGACGTCGACGCTTATCAGGGTCGATTTACGCATGAATAAACATCTGAGATATAATGTTGAGACGCGCTAATTATGGAGCGAGAAAGAAGCTATAATCAAGGTCGACGCGAGAAACGGAAATGTAGGCGATGACAAGATTATCTCAGAAATCTATCATGGAAGCTCCAACGATTGATTGAATATCAATTCTCGCCACTTCTTATGATACAGTTGTGAAATAATAAAGATTTTTCACGCAGAATTGAAAGCAACTTCCGATTTAGATAAGCAAAATTTTGCTTATCTGCTCTCTATGCAAAATTATGTTTGAAATAACAAAATTGAAAATAAAAAATTGTTCAGACTGAATAAATACAGCAATATGCGATACAGAATCAATTTAAAAAGTGAATAATTATACATTTCTTCTTTTAGATTCTATGTAGAAAAGTTCTTTTTTTACATGAAACATTTTCAAGTCTTATATATATATATATATATATTTATTACGCAAGGTGAAATAATGACTTTTTTAAATGACCGATTCGAAGACAAATCGCTTCTATCACGGATGATATTCGTGACACTACGGTGCTAGGATTCCAAGACAGCTGTTTAATACGCGTGACAAGACATCATAAGAAAGCCAAATGCCAAGTCTTTCAAGCACCGGTTGAAAATAACGACAATCGTCCCACTTGTCGGTCATGTACATACAGTTCTTGAATTCGGCCAGACACCTTAACGCAGTGATTCTCAATCAAAGTTTCACGCTTTCTTGAGTAGATCTACTTACGAATCTTGTCAAAATAAGTTATATTTATATTCACTACCTAATAAAATGAAAATGCTAATTTTCTTGACAAAATCGAAAAACAAAGTTTTTCTAAAATCAGTATCTTATATTAATTTTCATATTTCATCTTTATAGTTAATCAAGAAACCGCGTTAACGAACATAAGTTATAAGAAGAATTTAAGTTGCAAAAGTTTATTTTATTAACATTAAAAAATTATTTCAGAGAATATATTTTAAAATTTATCTACATTGAATGATGGTGAAAATAATTAATATATAATTTTTTTACGAGTTAAGAAGTTAATTAAAAAGCAAAGATCGTGCTATTTTAAAGGCAATATCTCTTCTTCGGTAACAAATTAGCATACAATTATGACGCTAATAGCTGACACATAATCAACGCGAGTTTCTGCCGACAGATATATTACTTAATTGTTTTCATCTTGCGTGATAATATCAAGAGATATTAGCATCACGTTACAAAGATAAAGATCGTTGCAGCGAGATGAAATATTCTTTCGCGAAAAGAAATAATCTCTCATTATCTTTCATCAAATTCTCATATAACTGTCGAGTACTGATGCTGACAATCAAATATTGAAATGATATTCTTTTACTAGCCTTTTTATTTATTCAGCGATCTCAATTAAGAAGAATCAAAATTTTTTTAATAAAAATAGGAGAAAATAAATTCATAGTCAGTTAACTTATATTTAAGATCGTCTTAAATTCAGTCTTAAGATGTCCCGGATCAATCAAAGGCCGGTATTCATAATCGAATCTTATTTCAAGACCATCTTAAGTAATGTCTTAAAACGCTAATGTGACCCTCTGATTACTTCGTGACACCTCAAGAACTTAAGACGGTCTTGAATACAAGAATTAACTATGAATACCGACCAAAAGGGCCACATTAGCGTCTTAAGACATTACTTAAGACGGTCTTGAAATAAAAATCGACTATGAATACCGGTCTTGGATCGCGAGCTTGCCACGGACTAAAATTCACCCTCGGGAAGGGTTGAGTTGAATTAACTCACCGCGGAGAACATCGGCAGGTATCAACCTTCGGAAGGTTTTTGGTCGTTCCTGCACCTGGGCATCCTGTGTGGCGACAAAGACCGCCGCGACGCACAACAGGGCGAATCTGAAGACGAGCTTCATGGTTTCGAGTCGAGTGATAGATAGATTCACAGGGAGAACCTCCTTCGAGATGGGAGGGATTAGGTGAGGAAGATTAGAAAAATGGAGCTTCTTGTATCGATTACGACTGGTTGGGCCCGATCCTCGTGGCGGCATTTTATAGCCGGCCATCGGGCGCGGTCCCTGTTATCCCCTCCAGGATCAGACGTGGTCTCTCACCTCTTGAACCACCAGTCACCGAAGCATCGTTCCCGACCGGGGCTTAAGTGACTCCGAAGACATCGCCGAGGTCCACGCGATGGGTAGGTAGGGATGCGTTACACGCATAGGGACCGACGTGGCCGCTGTCTTTGGTCGCTGCCTTTGATGGTGTAAATATCAAATTCTTATACCATGAGTCGTAATATATTCTGGTGCAAAATTCGTTTGACCAGGGAAAAAAATTCCTGACTGCTAGCGAGGGTTATCAGGACATCGATGATATTTGACTTGCAACCGTATTGTCCAAATATGTAATTCTATAAGCATGATTTTTTTTTTTTTTTTCGTGTATGGAGTTTATGTCTAATGCTTTCCTTTTTCTTCCTCTTTAAGAAAAAAAAATAGGAATATACATCAAGACAATGCCTATAATTACAAATCTTGGACAATATTGATTAATTTGATTGATTAACAAGAACGAGGAAAAGGATTTCCTTCGCAAACTAATCTTTGCAGAGCCAAGTAGTTAACAAAACTACGTCCTTCAACTAATTCTTAATTTAACTAATTAGAATTTACTTTAATGGGGTTTTAATTTGACAGTTGTAAGGACGCAGAAAATTGAAGGATTACAATAGATGATGACCAACCTCGACATTTCGCTGAGGAAAAATTGGCCCCAAATTGTCCGGAGAATCTGTCATTAAGAGAACGTCTGTTTGATGGTTTTTGAGATATCCTTGAGATAATGTATAAGCTGATACGTGTACAGGAAAAATTTTATTTTTAGAAAGGTTTCTTTTATAATGTCGAGTTATAATACATCATTAATATGTATTGATCAGTTAATATCTCATTAATGCTAGCTATAAAATGTGAGAGATTATTTTAAAATATTTTCGCTTATCGAATGCTTTCAAGAATAGACTAAAATATATCGAAGTTCATTGCTTCCTCACTTCGTAAGTTTAATAATTCAGGTACCATGTGATTAATTTATGGATAAACGTGATTTAATAAGGCATGCGGCAAGATTAATTGACAAGACAACTATATATTATCTTGTACTGTAATCGTGAAATTGCTGCAAACATATTTTCAGAGATTAGAAACTGTCGTTAACTTTCATCTATTCATTAGTAAATCTCGACGCGAGCACTTTTAAAATGCGGCAATATGCTGGTGTTAGTAAAATTCTCATTTGTTCCAAGTTAATATAATTTCAAATGAAATGAGACACTCTATAACACGCGTAAGAAATTAATAATTGCACGTCTGATTAAATATATATCGTTTTGCTAATTAGTTAAAGACTACCGCGCCAATTCCAGAGAAATAAATCATAATTTAATTAACACCCTATATATCAAGATGCGTGCTTGGGGTTCCGTGCGTGCTTCGTGCAGCACGCAAAAAAATAGTTGTCACGTTGGATAATAGCGTGGAAAATCTACACTACTCGTTTTTAGCAATTACAGGAGCTTAATAACAGTAATACACATTGGACTATCAACATGATAAACTTATAATAAAATGTCGTTGTCTGTAACACAATTTGGATCCCACCCTTACGTTGAAGAAGAAAGGTCGTGTCGTTGAGGATGAATACAATTTTATAAAACCTGGGCAAAGAGAGAGAAAGAGAAACAGAGACGTCGGAGGAATCTTGCTAGACAAGATTCTCTCTTCAAATGTAATAAATTTAATAGGAATGTGAATTCCGCCGCCCATTTAAAATCAATTTAGATCGAGATTTATGACGATGAATAATTTACGAAGTAGACGCAGTTACAATATGTGGATCCAGCTCGAAAACTGGTTGCGATCAAGCTTTTTAGAAGATTGCTACAGTTAAAAATATTAGCCTCTTGCAAATTTAATTATTCTCTATTTTATTTCGAACGCTGAAGAACGACATTTTAGCGATATTGTCTCGACCTCTTCTTGGCTGCGGTTTTATGTAACATCACACGAAATTCTTCCCTTAAAAAGAAATTAGGCAACAGCTCCGTCCATACAAATCCCGAAGCGTCATTAATACGGGCTTCTCGGAAGAAATTAACATAATTATTAGTAACCATGAGCGTTAGGAAAGCCGCAGCGGGTAGCTGATTCACTTCAGCGTGAAGGAGTTGCTTAAAGGCGCGACCCGTTTGTATAATATAATTCGTATGTTTTGTAAGTAACACCGATTAAGCGCGGAAACGCATGTTGAGCAATATCGCGCGTGTGTGTTGCATAATATTATTCCCGTCGCGCGCATAAGATCGAATCTCTGAACGTATGATTCTCTCATTTGAATTCTGATTTAATGCTACGCTATGGAATATCCTGCAAAGAAAATGTATGACATAGTATAAGTATTAATTAAGGAAATATGTATCACATCTCAAAAATGACACATTATCAAAAATAAAAAAATTTCATAGATTGTTCCATTGTTACATCTGAATAGTTGTGTAAAATTCGAGCAAATTCTCTTATTAGTTTGCTATTTAATTTTTTTGCTAGTCCTGATTCTTATGTAAAAATTACATTTTGTAATACTTATTTGATGAGAAATATTGTACGAATTAAATCAAATTTTATACATATATTAATAAAACAATAAATATTCGTGCAAAAAGTTCATTTGGATTATTTAGAAAGTTATCGACCATAACTGTAAATTTTATGTAGAAAAATTATTTTGCTGTATTAAAATCATTATAATAAGCCAAATTCGTTTTGCGTTTTGCAGTTGGTTTTAGGGCTAACATCATAAAAAATTGTTTAATGATATTGAGTGATAGATATTTTGGCTGAGTATTTGACTAATATTTAACTAACATGTACAGATAAATATATCTTTAATGGAATCTAGAGAAATCTCTATGTTTCTCTTTAAAATATCTTAAATCAATGACTGCGTTCAGTAGAGAAAACAGCTCTGCAACTGTGGTAAATTTTTTTAATATAATTAGTTTATACATTTATAGATAAGAAGTTGATGATGAAAATCGTAGATTCTATCAAAATAAAGAATTGCAATTATAACAATTTATACAACATTTCTTTCTTAATTCATACTTAATTTTCCATCTTAATCGTTTTTTAATTTTATTTTTTGAAATTTGACTTTAAAAAATATTACTCTGCTGATGTTGGATGTGATCGGAGATCAAACCGGATGAGATCGGAGACTAATAAAACCTTCACCACCTTGTCGGCTTCGAAGGTTGTCGAATAAAGTAGAAGCTGAGAAGATGCCTCTTTCTAAATTGCGGGTGTTATCGACGCCAACACTGGCGATACCATCGAGGATGATGCCATCCTTGACTTCGTGATCCCAGCTGATCTCGATCTAATCTCGTTCTTGGTTGATTCAATGATATTAATGCTTCTGAACAACTGACCATAATCAATCAGTTCTCTCTTCTTATGAACTAATTATAGCCGATAATCCTGGCCGATAATTATAACCGATAAGTAGAATATTGGCATCAACAGCGACGACCTTGATCTCAGTCTTCGCCTTGTCCTCGACCTTCGCCGATGCTTCCGTCTACATTTTGATCTCTATGTTCGCGTGGACGTCATCATGCATACTTCCGCTTGCGCTCTGTCTTCGAACTTCGCCTTTACTTCCGTTCTGATTTGGCTCGATTGCTGAGAAAAAGTTGCGGAAGAAACAACTGGAACAATTGTTCCAGGCTGAGAAAGACACCGTTCTCTAATTACTAATATTTGTTTAATAATTCGAAAAGAAATTGGACAAAGAAGTCAACGAGATGCCTCATACTTATATATACGTCATATTTAATCATGTCGCAAGAATCGTATTCCACCAATAATAGATATTAATTTCTAAAATTAAAAGGATGTTTTATATTTTTTCTATTTTTCTCTCTCTTTCTCTTCTTTAATATAAAAATTAATTTATAAATTTAATTATATTCAATATTAAAAATAGGAAATAAAATAAATAGGAATAAAAATAAATAAAATATATATAAAATAAAAATAGAAATTGTTGAATATTTCCATATCAAGTATTCGCTTAAATAAAGTCGATTCTATTTATTAACTTAACAAATTGGCTGCTTAAAAAAATTAATCTTTACATTGTGGATAGATATTGTCGCGTACCTGACAATCGAGAGAGATAAAGAAAAAGATAAATAATTGCAAACTCTGACGAGGAAACTTCTATACAGCAAACCGTACTCGAATCCGTGCCGGATGTGATGTAATTGTTGCAAAGCCGGCGGAACTCAATTGGGGCGATATTGTGTGCTGAGATTGCGGGACAACGGCCGCACTATGAATTGGGTATGGTTGTGAGTAGCATGGAACAGCCAACGCCTTCTTTAATTTGGGATCTGCCCAAATTGGAGAAAGTTTCCTCTGTCGATTGTCGCACGTCATTTACTTTGCTTTTACCGCAATTTGTCAACAAGGAATAATGATGAGGGGAAAAGATCATGATATATGGAAAATAATAAAAAAATATCTATACTGTAATATCATTCCTGTAATATCATCAATCAAAGAAATTTAAGAAGAGGAAAATGGTCCATAAAATTTATTTTTCTTATTACAACTGCAGTTCTAATATATATGGGATAATTTCCTCAATTACATCACGTATGATATATCTATCCGTGCGCACAGTTCTAACAACGCGTTTAACGTGTGTTACGTTTGAGATAATTGTAGAAATAAGTCATAGAGAAACACTCTTTGACGGAAGAAAGTCGAATGTTGCTGGGTATAATTAATTGGGAATCCGGCTTATGTAAGACTATATCAATCTATCGTATGTGAATCATAAAATATAGAGCAAAAGGAAGACCAAAGTGTAGAAGCTTCAGGAATGAGTGAATTGTGTAAAAAATAATATAAAATAATAAAAAATATATAACGTATGAAATATGAAAATAGGTATATTCAAACGTATAAAGATTTGTAATATTCAAATTTTCATTTATAAAACTGCTGTAGAATTACAATTATTCTTGCTAGTAACACAAGAGTAACTATATCAAATATTCCTTTGTAGTTGCAGTCTTGTTGAATATTTAAATATAAGTTAATCCAAGTTTACCGTACTGTTGAAAAGCAGCCGAAGAAGTAAGATGATGTCCAAATAAACAAATATCTTTTTAATAACATCACAAAATATCGAGTTCACAACTAGAATAAACGCGCTACTAAAGTTGAAATTTTATTTTATCTATTATAACTTTTTGTTTACTTTATATTTATATTCTTAATTATCAGTATTAAGTTTTATTTTACTTTACGTTTATGTCACATTGTTATTATATTATTTCTCTGTAATATACATGTATATACATATAGTATTATATATATTAATAAGTATATATATATATATATATATCGCAGTCACACTCTCGCATGTAACCATGTTGGTTCCAGCGTGAAAAGGTGAAAGCAGATTGTATGGAATAATCCGTGGAGAGAAGTCCCGTGTAACAAAGAAAAAAAATAAAAAGACAAGGATCTGTTGAACGCGTTCTCTATGTATGACAAATCTGGAAGAGCCTTGACACCAAATGATTAAGTCTTCGTTACCAGGAACACATCTATTGACAAATTCGGCTTGATACATAGTAACGTAAGCATATTTGACTGTGCTATTTGTATCGAGACAGATAAAAAAATTTTTGAATAATTTTACATTCAAATTTCTTCATTCTACGTAAACATTTTATTTTGAATACTTAACATCGCTTAGAATCGGACAATATCAATTTGTTATTACATGTAGTGTCGAGGAGAAACTAAAGTAAGACTGAATACGGTAAATGGCTATTTGTGGAGGATAGGCGAGAAAGTGGCAGTGAACTTTTGAAACTTTCCACGTGAAAGTGCAAGTGAAGATGCTGCCTGTACAACGTACGATAAACTGACTAAAACTCAATTTTTGTTGTGAATGGTACGTTCTAAAATGACGCGCATTAATCATTATAGTATATTAATGATTAGTAAAAAATTGAATTAACGAGTCAACGTTAATTCACTTTACATATCGATAAACAGTAACAAAGCGATAGACTAAGAACAAAAGAATTAAAAAACACTGAAATCGAATTTATACTTCAAATAAAGTAATATTTACCTCTTTGCTTTTGTTTTCCTGAGTAATTAATACGTCAATTAATACCTTAATTAATCAAATATATTATGGCATTTATAATCCACTGGAAAAAAATATAATCAATTTTAATAAATATTTAGTTCAATACTGCCAACTAAATATTTACTTACAGTAAATATTTGTTCAGTAAAAAAAAATTGTTAAATCCAATTAACATTTCTTATAAGATATATAAATAAATATATCTTTATATTTAATAAATATTTATGTAATATTCAACTAAATATTTATTAAAATTGACTATATTTTTTTTCAGTGTCATAATATAAAAATATATATAAAAAAATCTAGATACTACTTGTTTTCTCAATAGTTGCATTATACTTTCATTTTTTTATTCATGAAATAGCTCGACCCGAAATATTTTTTTAGATTTTTAGATATAATAAAGATTGCGAGTTATTGAAAATAATAATAATAAACATTTCTGTCGTACGTTCAATCATTAATTCAGTTAATTAAGAGTTTATCAAAATAATCTTGGTGTTCATTTTCATTTTAAATTTTCATGTTTCAAAAGACCGTTAATTACTTATAGGATATAAGCATAAGATTAAACTGATAATCGATTTGCATCATCATATGAATTTTTTAGAAGTCAAACCGATCAGTTCTATGAAATAAAGAGGAAGAAAAATTGATGTCAAACTACTCGATAAATTATCGAAATCGAGATTATAAAAAACGAAGTTGACCAATTTGGCTTCCAAGAGAGAGACTTGTATATACAAATATCAGGCGGATTACATTATGGAAATTGACCAAGCCACGATGGAAATTTCCATAATAGAGATTGCCAGGGTTTACGATGCGCTTCGCCGTTTTTTCACAACGTGTAAACGTGCTAGGTCAATGCAACGGCGCATAACGCGCTCGTTGCAACAGCTCGTGATGAGGACCTGTCATCTATCCGGCCCAGTCAATTAAAGCCATGCCCATCCTCTTCCTGTTCACTTTCTGCTCGTCCGCTGCAACTTGACCCTTCGCGAACTCCTTTTTATATTCAATAACATCTCATCGTTGATTAAAATTATACAAATAATCATAATTCCCGCTCTCACAATGTAAATAAAAGAAAGATAATCAAGTTTTAATTGCTGTAGTATTAAAGTTCTAAGTTACGATTTACTTCATCTCGTATTTAATATCTCAACTTTGCCGGATTTTCAGGAATTTAGATTTTCAGTTTAAATTACTAAATTAAATTTTAAGAAATGCAATTCTAGGAATTCTATATTTTTAAACTTTGTTTAAACTCTTAGAATTTTAGATTTTGTGCAATCTCTTCGATGATACTTATATTTACCTGAGAATTTATTGATTTTTTACTTTTTAATATCGAAGGCAACAAATGCTCTAATCAAAAATTTTAATTTTAGTGATCAGACTCGCGGTAAGCATGAGTCACGTAATTTGTTGCCCTTGACACAATTTTAGTCCTATCATTTTCCTATTGTTACATTATCATGAGAAATTTCCCAGTGTAAGTAATTACTGAAGTGAACGTGTGGATAACTGCGTAGACAATCGGCGAGAAAAATGAAATTGATGCATCTGAAAATAATGTTTACGAGACGATATAGAATAACTTATAAATATATACGAGAAAAGAAAACAATAAAATATTTATGAGAAGGAAACTGTCATTACAAAAGGCGGGACATAAATATTAATGTTTACATAAATAATTAATATAATATTAATATTTTAAATTAACTATTAGGAAATAATACGTACGAAATCACATTTTAATTATAAGCTAATCGAAGAAACGATTATGACAGAAAAAGATAGTTTAAATTTAAAAGTTCCAAAAATTTTCCTCAGTACCAAACAACCATTTCATTTCATTAAAGATGACAAAGCTAATGAAAAATAGATGTAAGGCATACATTTGATACTTTCGAGCGTGTCATACTATACAATGATTTCCTTTGAATGATAAGATGACTAGAAATGTTCAATCATCTTTCAGCTAAGGCATTTTTCCACGTAATCTATTAAAAACTTGAATTCTGATTTAAATTAGAATACTAACTCATTTTTTTATTTTCTCTCTTTATAAGGATTGAAAAATCTCTTTGGAAAAAAATAAGAAAAAAATATAAGTATTAAAGATTGATGAAAAAAAATCAAAGAATTTTTTGTTAAAAAAAGATAAAATTTAAATTCAAATTTCGAAAAATTTCCTTCTGAATACCAAAATAAAATCCCTTAAAAATTTCAGGTTTTTTCTCTTGGTTTTTTCATGGGAGAACACTCTGATTTCAGTTATATACTAAAAAAAAATTTCCCGAAAGATGATTATACATATTTCTTTAGCATTTAAAAAGCGTTGTACAATATAAAAAAGCGTTACAACATAAAAAAACACTCATTTTTTCATAGTAGAAATATACAACATGTGCTTCCTTCAAGACTCCACATATACAAAAGACTTTAGATTAATGTTTACATACATTTCAATGTTTTTGAAAATCATCGTATTTGTTTTTACGTAAAATGCAAGTAGCATCTCAAGTAACGCGATTGTTAAAGTTCATTATTTTTCTATTAAATTCAGTTTTATTTTCCTATTAAATTCTTTTAAATCAGGATGTTGATTTATCCTTCGTTTTTCTTTTTTAATAAAAAAGAGAGAGAAAAAAGTCCGACAGCAATATTTTGATCAATAAAAATTCTGATAACAAGTTATATTACATATCATGTATAATTTAGCTAAGAGAAAATTTTATTTGTACTAATTCCGCCATCTCGTATATTTAAAAAAATATTAATTATAAATTGGGTTAAAATTATTCCGGAAAAGCGAATCGTTCCTGCCAAACTTGCGAGCGATGTTTGCTTTTCAAAATTGGATCAAGAACAATCGCGATAGACTTTATACGTCCTCTAAATCTTTCGTTGTCCCGTGCTATTTCTTCCCAAGGACCTCTTCGAGCTGCACGGTATGCATAATTCCACGTCACCATGACATGTACGACTGGAGTTGGGTCGAAGCTCACCTGAAACAGAATTTCGAATCTGGAAGAGAATATTCTCCTCTAACATATGCAGATTTTTATCTAGAGATACGGTAGTGTCTCGTATATATGTACATAATATATCCAAATGAGTTTTGACAAAGTACTCGTAGTACAGATAAAACAGACTAAACTGAGTTAAAAAGTTCTGTAATTTTGCAATTTTTATAACGAGAAATTAAAGTAAACTCGCAAAATGTTTTTAAAATTACATGTATAAAAACGTTTTATCAATGTTAATATATTATAAAATTTGTATAAGGGCTAAATAAGCCAAGCACATTGTCTGTGCAAAAAAAATATGTTGTTACAATTTATAAAAATCTTCCAAACATTTCGGTTCTTTTGAAAGATTTTTATAAATTGTAACTATATATATATATATATTGCACAACATACTTGGCTCATTTAAGCCTTATATGAATTTTATTGAATTTATTAGTTCGTTGAGCCTTTAAAGCTTTTTAATTTTAATTTTAATATATTATATTTACAATAAATTTTTTGCTATGTTATCATTTCTGAAATCATATAATACAAGATGACTAATATAAGTATTAAGAGTTCTTAAATACCTTCTTTGTTTGTTTGTTTCTTAATTTTTCACCATTTTCATCAGTAAAGATGATCGAGTCATCTAGTTGGTTGTCTCCATCGTGTAAGTTCGTCTCAACACAGCCATCGACTTCTTCAGTACCAAAGGAACTGGTAGAAGTATAAGTATTTTCAGAATTATTAGAATCCGTATTTTCGAAACTAATAAAGTCATCAGAACATTCAGAACTGTCTGACGGCAATCGGCGATGTTGAAACAAATTCTTCTGTATTTGTCTATTATAATCCTTGCGGCGTTCGTCATTCATCTTCGTTAAACAATCGTAACGCATTCTCGGTCTTTCCGTTGCTTCTCCCTCGTCTAAAGTTATAGAAACATAATTACTGTCTTCAGAATTGGTGGAACTTTCTGATAATGATCGCAATCGAATGGAAGCAATTTTGGCATCGCTGTTGGAATCCTTGCAAGGATTATAGTTGTTCCTCATCGAAGAATTGAAGATAGGTGTATAATGTGTTTCGGTAGGAGAGGATGTTTTCATTCTTTGTTTATTACATGTTTCATTCAATTCGTCGTCTCCAAAAACGATCCAATCTTCAAGATCGATGGAGCTTTCTGATACTGTCAGCGATTGAATCGAATTTTCTTGTACATCAGGCATTTTATTATTGCTATCTTCGCAATAATTATAATTCAAAGAATTTGCTATACAACGTACTTTGGTCATGTATTTTCCTTTAGTTCTCTTCTTTTTGCGCGCCTTCGGTTTTCTTTTCCTACGTGTACTTTTGGGTGAGCTCGACATTGTTGAGCTATTAATCTGTTTGGTGATCTGAATGGAATCTGAAATATTCATGTTATCTAAGCTATCAAGCTTCTTACTGTCTAATGGACAATCGTATGATGCTGTTTTGCTCATAATCGCCATACTTAATAGATTCCATCCAGCATATGGTTTGGCCGATACCAAAACAGCTCAGCTGACGCTTCGCTCTGCTATGATCTAGAATATAAAAAACAATCTCAGTTTAGACTATAGATTATATGAACAATATTGAGTTCTTAGAGTTAGGTTTAGATATCTAATATGAAAGATTAGTTGAAAAATGTATACATTTATGTGAGATATCGATGTAATAGTGTATATGAGTGTCAATGACATGTAAATCAAATGTGTTTAAGTCCTATTGAATCAGTAAAACAGACGACTTTAATATCTCATTAATATATATATCATCCATATATTCTTTAACCCCAAAATAGATTTTTCCTCTACAATCAATTATCAATTATTTTTTCTAACTTGCCTATTTTCATCTTCTAAATTCCAATTAATAAAAGATCTTATCAACGAAAAGTCAAATAAGCATTTATTTGATTTCTGAGACTCAATTCTTGTAAAAAGAATTCTTATCTAAAACGATCCTCCTTATCTTCAGCCGATTAAAAAAAATCGGCCGTCAGAAAAATGTGTCATTTGACAAGAGTATTAAGGTATTAAGTATTTACGAGACATTGACCGGAATATTATCCGATATTTGTTTAGTATATCTGTATTACTGATATAGATCTCAACAATAAGGCTTACATGGAGAAACACCGTGTCATGGGAAACATGATGCATCGTAGCATGCATTATGATGACGCCTACGCACATTGACACGGGCACGTTTCGGAAGTTCATCATAATCGCATTATTTAGCGCGTATAGATTTTAGCATATGACGTAGAATCAGTCATTGAGATACAGTCATCCATACACACACATGCACACACGTGCATGTATTGCGTGACGCACGCGTCGCATGTCACGTACACTCTCTTGACTTACGTGATATAGAAGAGTCCTCGCAGGCGATGCAATAGCCTTTCGGATTTTCCACCCAATTGTAATCGTACGTGGGCAAAGCGGATCTTGTTCTACACCCTAAATAATCTATACCGATTGCAGTGTCAATTCCTATCGATTTCGCAGAGGCGAGGTTGTCTATCTCAGACGGGTACATTTTTAGAGAACACATGTTTACGAGATACTTTAAGCGGCCATCTTCAACTACAAAATGAGAGAGTATCGTGATTCGTGATGTATTCATGTATCGTTTCCAGCTGGACGGCACGGAGAGGCGCGCATGCGCGGCGAGTAGACGCGGAGGCCTCCGCCTCAGGCGCGTATAATGAGAGGGTGCGTCTGCGCCCTTTCTTCCATTTTTATTTTCATCGCATATCTCAGATTTTCATTTACTTTTATCTTAGAAAAAAATGTTTTGAATAAAATTCCGCGATTTCAGGAGAAAAAACACAACTTCTTATCCGACTGTTATATATAAAAAATATCTCATTCTAATCCCAGATAGCAGAGTTCAAAAGAGTTCAAAAAGAATTATATAATGTACCATCAATTCTGAGCTCATTTTCAGATGTAATAAGAATTCTTTTCAAATTGATGACATATCACTGAATTCTTTTTGAACTCTGTGCCATCTGAGATGACATTCTAAAGCTTGTTCTACAATGCGCTCTTTGTTTTCTGTTTCTTGCTTTGGCTTTTTTTCTCCTTTATAGTCGTATCATATTTTTTATCAACAATTATATTACTTACTATGTATGTCTTGTTTCTTTCGAAGTTCGTTAATTTTTATCTCGGACGACATAAAACAAAAAACTGGATAAGAAACAAGAAGATATAAAAAATAGTCAAAAGCAAGCAATAAGAAACAAAAAGCACATTGTAGAACAAGCTTAAATATCTCGGTTCTCATTTTAAAAAGAAATACTTTAAATAAAAGTATCGCGATTTTAGAGGGAAAAATACAACAATTTTCTTACATCAGTCTCCCTCTCTATCTGTTCGTTCTATTTTGATTGAACGCGATGAATCGATTGGAGAAAAGAGCAAGAAAAACGCAGTTGTTAAAAAAAAAAACGAGATTTCGGGCCAGATCGGCGCCTCATATTTATTAGACACGAGCCTATGGAAATGATCACGTGACTCTCACGCAGGGAGAAAGTCGAGATAAAAGATACGGTCAACGCGATGTTGCAAACGTTTGAAGTGTTTTTTAACAATTTGTAAAATTCTTTCTTTGGTCCATCAAATGCTTCAAAGCATTTTGTAGCAAAACTTCGACCACAACCAAATTCTTAACACTAATGGAAATAGTGTGTTTTTAAAATTTTTCTATGGTGCAGATATGATTACCTGACTACCTGAATATTTGTTGCGTGATAAAATACGTGATAGTAAAACAATGAGGACTGTGACGTGATGGAACCTTTGTTCGAAGCGATAACTCAGAATTTTAATTTAAAATCAAAAATAAATCAAATAAATAATAAATCAAATAATAAATAAATCAAATCCCGAAGAATAAATGAAATTAAAACAGAAAGGAAACAAACGGAAAAAGTTTTTCTGAAGTTTTAACGACGTGGAATCCGAAAATCAGTACGATTTCATAATTTGTGACAATTGTCAATTTAGATATAATTTAATTATTTATCTGTCCAAAACTTTTGGCATCGAGAAGTTTAGAAATATATCGAAAAGACACGCAATAACTATCACTATCTAATGATATCTATAAGTTAACGATTAGGCACTAACGAAAGTAAATGACGAACGGATGTTATCATTTGTTGTCATCACTTCAGTTGAATTCATTTCGTTAACAATCAGATCACCACAATTTTAAATAAATATACGTCTATAATTGTGAGCGCGGATTACAATATCGCAGGTCCGAGTTGTCATTCCTGCACTGGCGTCTCACTTTTTTGCGATTTATCTATAATAAATACATAATAATCACCCAGAGTCCAAGATAACAGAATCGAGAGTGAAAAGTCAGTAAGGGGAAAAGATTTAGCATATCAGAAGACTTTTTATATTCTTTCTCTCTTGATATCTACTAACATGTTATTTGATACATATATATTTTTTTAACAAAAGAGAAAAGAAAAAGCAAGGAAAACAGGAATAATTTCTGATAAAGAATTTCTAGTTAAATAATAAGTTATTATTAAAATTATTACTAAAAGTAAATTACTTTTCTATTTCCTTCTATTTCCATGTGCGATCTGGAGTAGTTTTGAAGAATTAGAATTGACTGCCGATATTTGATAAATACCTTCAGTTAGGGCAACCGTATATAATCGTAAAAGATCATTATAAAATAGAAGTAAGGAATAATAAAGTGAGAAAAATCTTTAGGATAACGGCGTCATGCATCAATACATATATATGTGTGTGTGTGTGTGTGTGTGTGTGTGTGTGTGTGTTTACTAAATATTGGCACGTTCGGCACGTGTCGTTTTTTTTTCTGTCAATTTTAATTCCCAAAAACTACTCCAGATAGCACATGAAAATAAAAGAAAATACAGAAAGATGGAAAAAAAATTTATTTTTAATAATAATTTATTTAATAATAACTTATAATTGTTTAACTATAAATTCTTCCTAACTAGAAATTATTCCTGTTTTAAAAATTATTTCCCTTGTTTTTTCTTTTCTTTTTTATTTAAAATCGAAGGTCTTTTATGTTGAATATGAAAGATCAGCACGCAGGACGTCTAAATAGACATAATATGACAGGCCACTATATCTGCGTGCTAGTCCTTTATATTCAGCATAAAAGACTTTCGATTTTTAACAAAACGAAAAAAAATCGAGCGAAGAAGGAATAAATTATAATAAAAAATTTATAGTTAACAATAAATTATTAAAAATAAATCTCTACGAGAAACTATCAAATAACCGAAGAAATAAAAAAGAAAATTTCTTTAGAATGTGGCAGATCATTTTATACATATTCAGTATAAAGATTTTCGATTTTTTTTCAGTAAAAGAAAGGAGAAAATGAACAAAGAAGAAATAATGTGTGCTAAAGGTATATTTGTTAAATAATTTATAATTAAAAATAAATTATTAAAAGAAGACGTGTTATTTGGAACATGCAATATTTATATAAAGAAAAAGATCAAACATTATTCTAATAATATAATAATAAAGAATCAAACGTCCTGACAAAAGAAAGATCGATCGTTATCTTAATAATAAAGAATAGCAGGAGATAATATTGTACTTGTTTTTTTTTCTTTTCATTGTTTACATTGTAACACACAAAATTTCAACCGTCCATTTATATATGTACTTTAGCGATAAGAATATATTTAGATAAGAAGAATGTAGCATACTACGTAACATTATTGTATGTGAATGTGTATATATGTATGTGCGTGTAATCTGACCCAACGTAGTGCGTTCCATTATTGGATGTTAAAAAATCGACCTGAAAAGAGAAGGTCATAATTGATTATAATTTATGGTCTTTTATTTAGTCATATTTTAGTACATAAATAACACAGTTTTTCTGTTTTTCAATTTTACACATTCCTGTATTTTAAATGAAATAGAAAGCATTAAAGGATATTTGAGAGAACATGGAAAGGAGCTAGAGAGAAAAACATCGTAGGTCACAGCTTCAAAATTGAACAAGCACGAAAAGATTCAACGAATAAGTAGCTGATGTGCATAACATAGGATAAATATAAATTGTGGATAAATAAATTGTCGATTATATCGAGAAATTGTACAATTAAATAATTTAAGAATTTTATACATATTTTGAATTTTTATGCTTTCATTTACGTTTCTGAATAACCGATTACTATTTCTCTAGAACTCTAATTTCATGTTCTTTTCTAGTATTAGCGTCTTGTAAATTTAAGTTGGAAATTGGAATAATTCGATAAACACCAAGTAACAGTAATATTACATCAATGTTATATATATTACAGTTAATTGATGATTACTGAATAAGACTGCATTTCAAGTTGTCGCTGATTTGAAAGCAAAAAAAACGAAATGTATGAAGCTCATAAAAGCTATTATTAGGTATAAGATTCTGCGCGACGACCGAAAATATCATCATAAATCAATTAATATCAGGAACATTCATTCACTGGTCTGGCGCTAAAAAATTCTAAGAATAATCGATGTGTCATCGAGATCTTATTTAAAAACAATTAGCTGATTCACTTATACACGCGTGACGAAATTCTTGTCGAAACTGCGTCACGTATATCAGTAAAATAAACAAGTACATAAACGAGCGAATAAATATTTAAATATATGCAGATATTACATAAATATATGCAGATATTACATAAGTATATATTCGATATTCGCTGCTTGATTATGAGATATCTCGCGTCGAAGCGAAAAGCGATTTAGTAATAACATAAATTTATTACATACATAAATTTCGTTGTCGCTTTTTTCCTCCATAATCGAGTTATTCAGTGTCATGAGTAACTTTCCAACCCCTTCTCCTTCTCCGCCACCTCTTATTGCTATACATCTCTTTTGCACACATACATGATTATTACTGTCAATAATTATTATTTCGACTAACGATATTACCGAACGTGTGCAAATCACGTCGTGCAAGTCGATGGAACGTGTGAAATAATTGCGTCAGAAAACACATAAACGGAAATCGGCAGGACTTTTTGGTAATAAAGTCGTAGTCCAAGTGTCACAATAAAAAGTCAAGATACAATTTCAACTGCGTATAATAATTACGTTGCCATAAACAATGCTGCATTGAAATTTTACAAGTTCGCATAGTGATCATGTAACTCTTTCTCTAAATATATGACAGCATGAAATAGCATTTTTCATACCAAATGACTTTACTATTATTATTATAAGAAACATAACAAAAGACAATATGTATCGTATTGTTACAGGATATTATTAGGAGAACAAATCACTGGTTTTTTTTTTCTTTGAGTATGTGTTAATAATTACATCGATAAATGTTGATAATAACGCGAATAATTAATTAATAATGTAGATAAGCAGGTTTCACGTTCATCAAGATAGTATTCGATTTCTCTTTTTCTATGACTTTATTGTAAATATTGTACACTCCAACTTTCTGTCGTGTATCGGACAAGAAACAGAAATAAATTTACACATAATTCTTCTATTTTTTTACATTTACATATGCAATTTAATAATACAAGACTATCAAAGGACAAAAAAAATTC